ATGTCAGTCTATCTGTTATGTATAAACCAGCCCATCTGGGGTTGGATTCCCCAAAACCCACCTTGTGAAGGCTGACAAAAGTAGCTTTGGCCATGAACACCAGGGATTGCTGCAGCCTGACATTCCGATGGCTCAAGATACGCCTCATTCTGTGACTTCCAAGGGCGGTCTTGCGGGAGAGCAGGGCCGAGGGACGGTAACTCTGGAAGCGGCAGCTGTACCCAATCGCCAAGAAAGTGACTTCCAGGAAGCTCTTCTACAATTCTCTTAGTGATGTTCAATCTTCCATGCACATTACTCATTCTCACCGCCGTAAGACGTCTGTGTTTGGTCCTGGAGAGAAGGGAGCCAGGGCCAAGACGACTCGAGCTCCTCCCAAAACGTCGTGGTGGGCGAGGGAACGACGAAGTAGGAGCCCGATAGCTGGGAAACATCGTCTACGTTGGGGGGGTACTCTCGATGCTGAAGACTTAGGTCCATCATTGAGCCCTCGAGCTGGGTACTAGCAGTCACAAGCTAGCTAAGGCGCTTTCTTCGAAGTCCCTGAACATCTCTCTCGATTCGGGGGCATGTGTCAATGGTAGGTGGGATTTCCAAACTTATAGGACAAATTCTTCCATTCTCTCCTCAGGATTTCGAGGCGCGCACATGACCAAATATCCTTCCTATATATTCCACACTACCCAAATTCGTATTGTTGATGCCGGCGCAGAAGTACCAGGCTTAAATTGAGATGCGTTAGGTGTGACAAGCTGGATTGGGGCACGTCTCCCCCACTGGAAGGGAGCGAGATAGTTGCAGAAATTAGGGCTGTGCAACCTTAGACAAGCCTCCCTAGCTACAGTAGGTGTAAGTTAGGGCACGCATTTGCAGCCTGAAAGTGCACAGTGTCCGTCTAATGGTCTGAGGGCGTCCAGCCCAAGTCACTTTATTGGCGAACCAACATAAAGGCTCTAAGTCAAAGTCAAGAAATTCGAAGTAAGCATTCGCTGTTTGTGTGATGTGTGCCGGGTATCTTCTTTATCTCCTCGCAGCCTTCTCCCACGCCTGATCAAATTTCCTAATTCCTGAGTGTGTTCCTTGGCTCTTGCTGGTTGTCTGTGCGAGACCGTAAGCCGCGAGTGGGATTGGCGGTTCCTCCGTCATCCACGCCTCGAGTCTGGTGGTTCGCACAGCCCGCTGGCCGCTTTTGCCTGAGCTGCTGCTAATCAATGAGCGCGACGAAAGTCGGTTGGGGACTGAAGCACCCACCTCGAGTCTCCTGCATGGAGGGAGTGTACATCGCTGCTCGGCATCTCGAGCTTCCAACTGGACTGGTTCTTCTGAGTGATTCTACAAGGTTGCTTGATTTGTTTTTACTTGGACGAACGTTTCATGACCAAAAAACATATTCAGAGAACACCTCGTGCTCAAGTTCAGAGTGTTTTTTCACGTCTTTTCTACGTCTTTCCAGGCGGCTAATATCACGAGTTTTTCCTTCACTGCGCATTTCACCAGACTATCGCGCAGCGCAATTGTGCGCAATCGAAAGTGATTTCTTGAGCAGTTGCGCTCGCTTTCTAAATTGTGGCCCGGCGAACTGCTGTGAAGTGTATGAAGTGGTTCGCCTTTAGGGGGCGTGTCGTTATTGTACGTACATCACGCATTTCCATCATTGTAGAAACGAGCACTCGCGCGTTTCGATGTGTAAATCCGCCCGCTTGTCATGCGCAACTGCCCGGCAGTGACGTAGATGCATGTCTACAGGTGGAATCAAAGTAGAAAAATGCCTTGTAACACCGCGCATCTGGATCAGGATTTTCGACCTCAGGGGCTGTTGTGGCGCGAGGCAACGGCTTGCCTTGTGCATTGACCTCGAGTGCTGGGCGGTGAGGAAGAGACGCCTCGAAAGCCTGGCAAATCAAGTGACTGACGACAGGACTCACATCAAGGGAGAATTCAGATCATTGGATCAGGAGTCGGCATACGAGACAACCTCCCTATGAGCGTGATAGCCGTGAGGAAGACGCGATACTGAACAGATCGATGGCATGGATACGGAACAGTGCGCCTCCGAATCCGCCCCGACAAATCTACGATGGCTGTGCAGAGCTCCGTACGTTGAGAATTACAAGCTACCCGGCCGAAGAGCCTCATCGGAGGTACTCATCGGGGCGTGAGAACTCGGGAGTAGATGTTGATTACCAGGAGACGGGAAGGCAGCCGCGCTAAGGGGAGGAGTTGGTTGAGGAGGCGACTGGAGTCTAGGATTTCTCACAGATGGAAGCCGTCGCTGGTTTCTTTCCTCCTTTATCATTTCCTACAATTCCACAAGCATATCATATAGCTTTCACCTCGTAGACGCTCTCAGCCAACAGCCTGAAAGCATTTCGTTTCGTTTCCAACCACCTTTGTCGATGAGTTTGCTACTGAGGTTCTCAAGTGGCTTGATCGTCTATTCAGACACTGTAGCCAACCGATTGTCAACCGTGGGGGGTAACAGTTTGGGCCAGTCATCGGGCCCGTACACGGTCGTCGACGTTTGTTCCACCGCTGCAGACGCCCTGGGAGGCTGTCCGACTTTCTTTGATTCGCTCTTTAGTTCTCTCTCGTCACAACTAAATCATTCCCACGTTCAACTCTCTCCGGCCGGCGTTGCAGTACTGCAAACACCCTCCCGTCACCTCGGCCCAACTCTCGCACAGCATACATGTTCTCAGTGGCCAGTCTTTAAAATAGACGACGTCAAAGTTCGCCATGGCCTTTACAACTTACTTGCGGTCTGTGGCACTGGTCTTTACCTACTAAAGCCAGTTGCCGTCGCTCTATTCGCCAAGTGGGTGCCAGCAGCGCTCTGCCCCAACGAGAATCCAAGTTCCCAGATCAGTGGACATTCAGCTACAGGCTGGCGAGCCTTTAGTGATTTACTCGCCCGTCCGCCGATTCCACAGCTCCTTCGAGAACTGTACACCGCGCCTGGACTGTACCTCAAGCATCTCGTGTACATACCAAAGAGCAGCGCTACAGGCGGTGGTTCTGGAAAGACTAGCGGATCCGGGGGCGTGGCCTCTGGAACTGACCAAAGTCGAAGAAGGAAGAGAGCTACCAAGTCAAGCGGGAGCACTGCTTCTAGCACCACGAGCCGCGGGCGTGGTGGAAAACGCCCGCGTGTCGCAGTCGCCCCCAAAGCCAAAGCAGTCAGGAAGGGGAGGCTTTTCGCGTGCCACTTTTACGCGCACGACACTGTCGCCCATGAGTGCTGCCGCCATTACAAATTCGACGAAGTTAGGCACATCAAGAGACACTTGACAGAAGAGGGCAGGGGTAACCACCGCCAGCCCATTCACTGTGTCATTTGCTTTTCCTTATTCACCACATTCACAGAACGTAGTGCACATATAAGGTCACGAACATGCCGCCCCGGTGTCTGTGATTTCGATGCTTCTGGACTCAATGAAGACCAAATAGCCTCTATTCGAGGACTGAAGAAGTCTCGCGGTGAAGATGAGAAGGAATTCTGGTTCAAGGTCTGGGACATTGTCTTTCCGGGCGAGCAGAGACCTGCGTCGCCCTACTCTGACGACGTCGATGAGCTTGCGACAAGACGGCGAGTGGCTCCCAGAATGGCTGTTGGCGTGCAGCAGCTTGGGCTACAGCTTGGATGGAGTGACAACGACGTCCAAGCAGTCATTCGCGTGTTGGACAGCAGCTGGGGTCAAGGCCCGGGAGTACCGCCATCGACAGTTGAGCAACACAATTCCTCTCAAGCTGCCAACGGCACCCGGGGGCCACCATCTTCGCCAATCCAGAACCAGGTGTTTCCCGGTTTCGCTCCGACGGCGGCTTCTCTTATGTCTCCTCCAAACTCATTGGGTCCGACAAACATAACCTACATCGGTGGATCGCAGCCCCGCTCAACGTTGGATTCCTTTCAGAGCCCGTATCAACCATTTAATGCTCCAAGGGACTCTCATCAGGCTCGGGCAGCACACATATCATACAATTTAGCGTTAATGGATCACCATAGCTCCGCTGTCCAGCAGCACTGGACAGCGCACCAAACCAATAGGTCTGGCTTCAGAACAAATCCCATGCTCAACACCACCTCCCCCCAAGTGCACTACGCAGCCATGAGGCAAACTCAATCGCGATTCAATACTACAGAACCTGGGGTCAACGTCTTTCCGCAAGGATTGAACCAGCCACAACCAGCGAACAACCCGGTAATTACCGACAGCTGGGCGCGTCTGCTCGACGGACATACAATCGCGTCCGACAACGAAGGTTACCAGTCACTCAGCAACCTCCTCCCGCTAGAACACTGCGAATGCCGGCGCGAACCGGGAAGGTCTCCGAGGGCGTGCTTCTTACACTGTTAACTTGGTCTTTCTCATCTAATTCTTTATGTTGTCTACTTGTTGTCTTTGTTTCCTTATGTCAATTGTAATGGACCATCAAAATGAGATAGAAAGTCTATTGGGGGCCAATGCTTTCAAAGCTGGCTTTATACCCGCATCAGCCGGTTCAAGGACTTGAATAGAATCATAGAGCTTCCATCGGTGTTGAATTGGATATTATGGAAACTCGGCATTTGGGGCAAGAGCTAACCAAGAACACAAAGTAGATGGTTGAATGTATTTATCTAAATACCAATTCCCAGCATGACCTCAAATCCTTTCTCTTTCAGAGTCTCCGTCGAAACATAGCTGCTCCTCGATTATGGTCTATGCTCCATCACTACGACCACTTTGCCTTGCCTTCCTCATGGACAGCGCCACAACGCCTGCGACATCGATCAGCATCTATGTAGTCTGTAGAAAAAGAGCTAGATACAGCGACAACATGTAGATGAATGGCGGGTTGAAAAGCCGTCCTGTGCTGGTGCCTTTATGTATTAGTTGGACGAATTGAGAAATCAAGTACAGTTTCATGTCCCTCGTCAAGGGCAGGTGGACCTGCATCAAGGAAGCTCAGGTTGCCTGTATCGAATCCGTCGAACGTTTGCAAGTCCAACCAAGACGTCAAGTCCAAGTCGCCCAGCTGTGGCCCGCCGAACTGTAGTCCTTGGTCTGGGGCGGATTTGTGGCCTTCCTGGAGTAAGTTCTCCTGCATCTCAAATGGTTGATGATGAGTCGTGTCGGGACCATCTTGAGGAACACCGTGAACACGGCCAGGGGATTGAGGTACTGAACCTGCTTCAGATTGACAAACGCCCTGATTCCACCGGACTTTTCCTGCTGATGTAACATCAGGATGCTCCAACACATGTCGGACAATATCAATGATGCATCTCTGGAGCAGACTCCTGTTCTCCCAACTCAGAGGTTCTCGGAGTGTGGCTTCTCGTTGCGTAACAAGTTCCTCGACAATTTCGCGGCCGTGTTCTTCCCAGAGCTCTCGCCGTAAGGTGCTGAAATCTTCAACCATCTTGCCCAGAAAGCAATGCGGCGGATTTGGGCGTGTTTGCCCTGGACAGACAATATCCCATATCGTATACCATTGTTCCACGGTTGACCCTTTTGGAACTCTTCCCTCCAACCGGGTGTCTTGCTCTCGCGTGATCCACGGTGTGCTTGTTTCTTGCGGGGCGCTACAAGAGCGTTCAATGACATGTTCATCACGCTCGTCGGGTCCCGAGTATGTTTTCCAACAAATAGGACAGTAGTACTGTGGTCTCCTGTGTTGTCTCCTCATGTGCTGCTTTACATCCCTGATGCGCCTGAGCCGACGTTTCGCACAAGCCGCGTACCTTCGCGGGTCCTTTCGAAACAGAGGGCAGGCAAGATATTTGTGTTCTGCATCACTGGCATTACCGCCGTCATGTTCCTCTTCGGGGCTGGAGCCATTCTTGTCCTCGTCATTTGGGGAGTCGTTCCCATCTCGGATGAGGCTCGCCCGCTCTCTTTTAGACGATACTTGTTGTTTCGAGGACGGCGGCTGCTGCGAATTGCTAGATTGGCGATCACGTTTTCGTGCCGAGGCTTTGCCCCCTCCCCGGCCTAAGGTGTTCTGGTCCTGGGAAATTTGATGCTCCAATCTAGTCTCGAGGTCTTGTAAAGCCTTCAACACCAACTCGTTCAAAATGCGAAGTGAAGTCGTATCTTTTGGCGTTGCCGGTGACAGCTCTCCAGATGCGGGGTCCAGGTTGGTGACACTCCACTCTCTTTGCTTCCCAGCATCTCGGTAGGGATCTATTCGGTCGGGGTCTAGGCCAGATGAATAAATTGGCAAGAGATCCATTTCAGGGTCTGGAGATGGAGGCTTGTCGGGATGGTGCATCCTTGGGCTTTGGGGCTCGGCGTTAGAGAAGAATACCATAGAATTGTCGACTAACATGCTCGTTTGGTCACTTTCCAGATGCCTGAGCTCTCTGCACCGCTGACAGCTCCGGGAGTGTCTCTTCAAATTCGAAGAATGGTTTACCAATTTTTTCCCGCACGGCATTTCCACAGGCGCGCTATGCTTTGATTGAATATGTCTCTTCACATTACTCCTACAGCTGAATTTCGAGACGCAACCTGGATGGGGACATAGGTATGTTCTTCCAATCTCCCGAGTTTGATTGAGTTGCCTCGTTGACTCGTTTTTTGGATTTGGCCCGGTGCCGCTGCCCATTGAAGTACGTCGATGGAAGTCGAATGACACATTTTTAGTCTCTTGGATTTGCTTGAACCGCCTCGGTGGTTCGTTTGTTGGATCCGGTCCAGTGCCGTTGCCAACTGGAGTACGTCGGTACAGGTCGAATGACGGATTTCCAGTCTCCTGAGTCTGATTGAAGCGTCTCGGCGGTTCGTTTATTAAATTGGGCCATGTGCCGCCGTCCCTTGGAGTGCGTTGGTACAGCTCGAATGACGGATTTCCAGTCTCCTGAGTCTGATTGAAGCGTCTCGGCGGTTCGTTTATTAAATTGGGCCATGTGCCGCCGTCCCTTGGAGTGCGTTGGTACAGCTCGAATGACAGGTCATTCTGGTGTGGTGATAACGACCTGGTCATAGACCGAGAGACCGCCACTCCGCCGCCGGTCATACAAGAGCTACCCATTTGTAAAAGGTCCATTTGGCAAAGAGTTTGGAGTAGAGACGATGGACAGAAAAGTCGTAGTCGCGATGAGTTCATGAATTAGTACATACCTGCACTATGGAAGAAGCACCTGCTATGTGGTCGGGAGAAGAGTCCCTTTTAACGTAGTATATGAGGCAATATAGCTCACTTGAATTCAGACAGCACCTACCTCATGAAACCCAGTAAAAGTGCCTCTTGTTGGTCTGCTAGTTGCCCTCACGTCACTGGCGCTTCCTGAGCCCCCGTCGAGCAATCAGATTGCGCGACTCGTCACAGGCCATACGCCTCGCTGCAGCACTCAGGGGAGAACACTGAAATACTTACAGATGATGAGCACACCAGTGCTCAAGTTTTGTCACGCCCAAGGGGCGCGCAAAAGTCACCCGTGCCGACGGCGGCCAAGAAAGGACAAGTCACAACTGCGTTCTTGGCAATGTGTGCTCTCCGCCCCTTTTCTCTTCCTTTTTTTCTTGAGTTTTTCTAAATGTTCTTGCGTATGTAGACACGGTTAGTCAGAAGGTCGTCCAGGAACAAGTTGGTTCTTTGCTCGTAGATCGCTAGTGTCTTGGTGTAGCCGTTAGCGGTCAGGAAAATGTGTGATCGTTCATGGTTGACAGAACTCGCCATTGCTTGTGCTTGCAATTTCCTTTTTTTTTCTTTCTTCTTCTTCTTCTTCTTTTTTTTTTTTTTTTTTTTTTTTTTTTTTTTGTTTTTTTGGTTTTTTTTTTTTTTTTTGGTTTGTGTTTTTTTTTTTTTTTTTTTTTTTTTTTTTTTTTTTTTTTTTTTTTTTTTTTTTTTTTTTTTTTTTTTTTTTGCGGGTTCAATTCTCATCCGTAGCTGAGGCCATTGACCCAAGTCGTGTCTGGGCGTTGACCTCGTCGTGAAGCAGTCGAGGCTTCTTGTGGCTCGTCTCCTTTCCAGCTTCGCTGCCTGCGTGCCTGCGTTGCTGTCTGCCCCTCCCCCGCAATTCGCTAGAGATGCACGGATCACTGAGTATCCGTTGGAAGAGTGGGGACGCGGCACTCGGGTTGACTAATCGCGCCGCTGCCCCTCTATGTACGTACTGCGAAGGCGCGAACCGTTTCGGGAAGCCTGCACAGGACTGCTCCGAGGGGCCAAAGAAGGTTTGAGAGTGTCGCGACACACCAGCACGCTGCGCCAGTCCGTCTGTCGTATTCGGGTGCCACCCACCGTTGTTCAAGCCTCAAGCCCCAGGACTGCCGGTCGGTTCCTGTGTGGAGAGTGTAACGGCACGGATCACGTATTCTGTGGTTCCTGGCCGTTTGTGAACAGGTCCCTGGGACACTGGGACGGGCAGTCTAATTGACTTGATCCCGGTTGCTTTACCTGTCCTTGTCCTTCTCGGTCCAATTAACCTTTCCGAAGCTTCCCTCCTCCTCCCCTACTACTACTACTTCTCGACGACAACACACGTACACGAAGACACATACACACAACTCGATAAACAACGCGTCAAAGACTCGACGGGTCATACCGAGCCAGCGCTTCCTCCCCCACGATACCTCCACATCGCGAACCTACCCAAATCCATATCCCCAGCGTCGACAACAAGATGGTCTCAACACGATCCTCCTCCCGCGCCCTCTCAACCGGCCCCGAAGCCTCCCCAATCATCCCCTCAAAAGCCCGCGCCGTCGTAACAGCCGCAACAACCCACCCCGAAAACAAATCCACCCCGCAAGGCTGGTCCCATGCGCCAACCTCCCTCACCTGCTTCTGGCTCCTCGTCTCCCTGCCCCTCGTCATCTGGGACACGGGCTACGTCCTCCTCCGGCCCTGGACGATGCCCGGCGGCCACCTCCACTGGCCCGTCTGGGCGCCCTACAAGCTCTACGGCGAGGTCGACCACGTGTACGGGTGGAAGGCCTTCAACGCCGGCAACGGCTTCACCTCTGCGCAGGGCGCGCTGAACGCCGTCGAGACGGTCATGTATCTCGCCTACTACTGGTTGTACTTCTCGCGAGGACGCGCCGTTGACGGGCCGGCTGGGTTGAAGAAGGTTGTTGGTGGGAAGGCGGGCGCGCTGGCTATTGTTATTGGGTTCAGCGCGGCTGTGATGACGTTGAGCAAGACGGTGTTGTACTGTAAGCGCGACTCTCTTTCCTTTTGCTCCCGGAGCCCTGCGAAGCGATACTGTACTAACGACGATGATGCGACAGGGGCGAACGAGTACTTCTCTCGTTTTGACAATATTGGCCACAACCCCCCTCTGGACCTCCTCTTCCTCTGGATCATTCCCAAGTAAGCTTTTCCCCACGAACAGAAGAGGCGGATTGCTGCACGGAAAGGAAGCTGACTTGAAATCGCGACTGTAGCGGCGCATGGCTTCTCGGCTCAGGCTACATGATCCTCTCCATGGGCGGCGAGATCGTCGACGGGCTGGCCCTCGCGTCAAAGACGACCAAGACTGAGTAATATCCGTTTGTTGGTATTTGCGACGCAGCGTTGAACTCTCAGACTCTCGTATGATCGCATCTGTACAGGGACAACCGTGTACCCTCATTCTGTACATTCAACGCTGTAAGAAGCGCGAGCATTGCGCGAGCATGCCAGCCGTAGATGAAGGCCCGGAAGCTGAGTTGTATGGCAACGGTAAATATAGGACAAAGATAAATGGACATATGCAGTAATGTTTGAAATGACGACAGCCCCATTTACGTCCCTCCTGAATGGGCGTCGAGCCTGATTCGATGCATCCTGTGAGCGATAGGCATATTTTGCCATGTGCACATCCAACTCCGTGATGGCTGCATTCCTGCAGGTACCATCCGCAGAAAACGTCACGGGGCTGACGAGACAGGTCGTTGCTGTCAGCACTTGCGCCCATCGTACAAATATGATGTGCTTCGCAGATGAACTGCGAATGGGAAGACAGGAAGCTTATGGAATACCAGCCGGTCGCAGCCTTTTTATCCTTTACAAACGTAGTGGTGTGTAGACACGTTCAGTCCAAAAATTGCCTCGTCTCATCGGACGTCATCTGTGATATGGAAAGTCACTGTTCAGGTGTAAGAAGCCCGTTATCATCTCGTTCTCTTTTCTTCAGATTTTTCAGTGAGAATATTGTACAATGTGCCATAACAATCCAGGCTTAAACTCCTTCCCCAACCTTATCGCTCATATCAATCATCGCCATGCGCAGGCCTGTATAAGGAGGGTGCGACAGGGTATCTCGTCATTTCCAAATCAATACATACAAAGAAAACAACACCAGTGGTAGCGTGCCACTACCATTCGTACATTCCGGCCAGAGTAGTACTCAGTACACCCAGCCGGTCTAGATATTCAGAGGGGAGCAGCTAGTAAGACCACCAAGGTCCTTGAACTGCTCCCACACAGGCTGCACATCCATCTGCCCCAATACCGGGGACTCATGAATCGGGATCGAAGACTTGCGGATCTGCAGGGGAAGAGGCTCCAGCTCATGACGGTGGAAGTCTGCCTCCTGCTCCTTAATCAGCTCCTCATAGTCATGAGCGTAGCTACCAGCGCCGCCCCCGATAACGCTGTGACGCCGGTTATTTACCGTCCAATCCGAAGAACTGGCACGGGGCGGCGTCCCCGCGAAGGAAAGCACATTTCTCATGCGCCGGCGACCACGCAGAGGAACGGGGCTCAGCATAGGCGACTCCTGGTTCGGCCAATTCTTGCTCGGCGCATCGGGCGAGGTCGGCGGCGCCGTGGAGTCGATGGTCGCATAGCTGTGACCACCCATCGAGGGAGCCTCAGAGGCGCCGCTGGACTCTGAGGAAGTCGAGAAGGAACGCGGTGCAACATGAGTCCGGGGCGAGACCTCTGCGGGAGGACCCTCCCACTTCTTGACAGCATTGGTGCCGTTGCCGTAACCGTGGACCACGATCTCGCAGTATGATGCCTTGCGGGGTGCCGGAGCACATTGCTCCTCCAGCTTGCGGAAGATGCTGAGGGATCGTCGGAAGGGGTTGTTGCGGGACAAGCTCCTGCTCCGTGAGCGGGCCGGGGCCGCCGCGGATGGGACCCCGCATGTTGACTGCCGACGGGAGGCTATTTCGTCGCGGCGGGATCTGGCAGTGTAGTCGACGTCTGGTCGAATCTCGATAGTCGGCGACACAACCACAGACGGTGTGCCATGGCAGCCCGTTGCCCAGTCCGTGACGGATTGCGATCGCTTAGTATCGACTGCGATGTCTGTCTGCTTGCGCAGGAGGGTTTGCAATTGGCGTCCCTCCTTCCAGGGCGGCAGCTTTTCACAAGACACTGCGAGGTGATAGTCCGCACCAGTGTCGCGAACTTCTGATGGCGCCTGTGTGCAGCTGAGGAGCACTTGGTACACCGCGTAAATCAGAATCCAGCGCACCTTGCGGGCGTCCACGAGACTAATCTTCTCGGCCTTATCGACGCGAATAAGAGGTGAAACGGAGTCTTCTTCAAACTTCCGGTAGGCGCGGACAAAGTCGTTGTCCAGAAGTGCTGGGTCACGCATGTTCATTGCCTTGATCATGGCACTGTGGGCCACTAGGCGTTGGTCAGGCTTTAGCTTGTCGCCTCGCGCGGTGTTCGCCAACCACTGTAGTGACATGCGACGGGATGCTTTGTCGCTGACAGTCTCGGGCAGTAATGGCAGCGGATGCCTCAGAGACTTGAAGTTGCATCGCTCATCGAATTCCTGGACGCTCTGCACGGCGCAGATCCCGCCTTGCGCAAGGAGCGGGCTGCTCTCGATTGAAGTGAACTCCTCGTCTACGAGCAAGTCATAAACGGCCTTGAAATCCTTGCACATGGTACTGAAAATCTCAGGGTCGAAGATGGTGCTACTGCGAGTGTCGAAGGACAATGGCGGGTAATAGCCAAACTTTGTCGTGTAAAATGATTGGATAAAGGATCGGAATCGGTCCAGGTGGGCACGTCCGCCTGCTGGAAGGCCAAGATGTGTCTCAGAGAGCTCATCTTCCAGGAAGTTCTTAAGCATGCCACCTGCTTGACTGAGTCTAGAATTCATCTCAGTCCGCGCCCGTCGAATCAGCGTCTTAGAGACCGAGCCAATGTGCTATGTTCTGTGAGTCAAACGTGCAGCCGTTGGAAATAAGCGTAACATACCTGATACTCGGGACTGTAGAAGAGCTCCTCGCTCATTCCAACGCAGTGGCTGAATGCGTCGACGTACAAGTCTCTCAATTGGAAGACTTCAGCCAGATGCAGCATAGCAAGTGCGTGTTGCGGCAGACCCTTGATGTCGTAGTAGCCCTCTTCATCTAAGTAAGAAGTGAGATCCGACACGTTGTCCTGTTCGTTGCCTCTGAACTCCGCCATGCTGTTAAGAAGGCCGATGAGTGCGGTGCCGAGGTGCTCGCCGACCACTGAGCGTCGGAAGATCCACGCAAAGAAATTTCTCGTTGCGAGATGGTAAGAAAATGCCTGTTCCTTGTCTGCCATTGGGGGTGCTGGAATGTAGAGCTCGATCCGCTCGTTGGGGTTGAGAGCATTCCACCGGTCCAAATCATCATACTGGTCATGGAATGAACCTGGCGTCTCAGGCATGTCGCGAGCCATAAATCTCTTGACAAACGGATGGCAGTTTGCTGAAAGCAAAGCACCGAATGGTACTTTAAATGCAGGTCCTCTGCGGGACTGCCCCTTGCCGTACAAGTGTACGAAGCAGTTTCCACCGCGAAACCATAATTCAGGGTCCTGAGACAACAACGTTAGCGAATAATCTCAAGGTCAAGAGACATCGCGCTAGCTGAATTTCTCTCATCACGATAGGAAGGATCATCTTACTCTTCTCAGATTATCCCAATCACTGCATGACCTTGCTGCTCCGTCCCACCTCTTGACTTTTGAATTTTGAGGCATCCTTCCCTCGATAATAGGGTTCCCAAGCGTCTTAGGCGTCCAGCCTTGTGTTGATGTTGTTGACATTGTGCGAGTGGGTGGTAGAGACATTCGTTTTCGAGAATCTCGTCGACCGTACATTGTGAGACTTCAAGCGCGAGACAAGTCGCGGGATCAAGTACGTTGATATGGGCGATCGTTGAATAGCTCCCGTGACGGGAAGCCTTAGCCCTCAGCTAAATGCGGCCAGAGAGCTTCACCCAGGTTGAGAGCTGACAGCAGTGGATGGCGCCGATGACTGTAGAGGAGGTGTTCCGGACCGCCAATAGTCCACAAGAACCCCTGTCAGATCTGCGTTGATCACTGAAGTGATTGAGGTAGCTAGCGGATGTACCCAGTACGCCCGTAGCAGTGAACAATGACTTGAGATCGTCGCTTGTCCACGGCCTTGTCGAACCTGGTCGAAAGCAGCCGGTCCGGATGAGCAAAAGAGCTGTGGTTGGATGGGGAAATGGACGCCGAAAACCTTACAAAACGTCTTCGGGTGGGCGTCTGGATGGCTTTATGTCACTTGTCCCGGATCAAGAACTGACTTGACCCAGAATCCGGGACTGGGCTGCGTCCTGGCAAAGACCCGCCAGCTTGCCCACGGTCCGAGCTGCCTGTCGTAGAGTGTCGAGTGACGCGGCGGGAGACAGAGGGATAGCTCCAAGCCATGTTTTAGACCGGGCCGCCACTAGAGCGATGGGTGAACCCCTCAGTCCGGACCCTACCCTGGTCTGCAGCTTCTTCGAGGACGGCCAAGCAAATGTGCCTGTCATCCACAGCTCTGATGCGCTGGCAGTCTCTTCAAACTTCTCAGACTCTGTGCAGCAGCATACGCATACAGGCGTAGTGAGTCTGTTCCTGAGGAACACTGCTGCTGCAGCATCCGTCAGCTCCAGGCTGTGCCACTGCAGGCTCCCCGTCCGTGAGCCGACTTCTCGCAAAAAAGGACGGCGAGAGGAATGATTTTGCCTTTCAACGGCGACGTATGATGTCTGGAGGTCTCAAACAGTCTCTGCGTCTCCACCAACGCTGTTGTGACGGAACCCTAGGTAGTCGACGTTGAAGTGATCGGCAAGGCGCCAGATGTGATTTGTTTCCTCGCTGGTATGAGCATTCTTGCGTATGCAGTCCCTTCTCCCTGTGACATTTGGGGAATGCTAGTGATAGGGTGGTGATGCAAAGCGTCGATGCTGGCTTGCCTCTGCCCACCATCAGCCCAAACTCCGGGGGCATGTCTTTGGGGATCGCCGTCCTCGATGCATACTTCGGCGTTGGCTTGCATCGACAAAGAAGCTCAATGATTGGTCAGAGTCGCGTCCCGCTTGCTCGATTGAGCAATGTCTCATGACAATTGGCGACTAAACCCCCGGGAGCTGGGCTTCCCTTTGCTAATTGTCTTGGGACGATCGCAATCGGCTTTCTTCTGCTGAATCATCAGTCACACGGCGGCCAAGATGTGAAGTCATCCCAAGGTGATATAACGGCCACGATCGCATCCGGGAGGTGTGGATTGAAATTGACCGTCTTCATCTTGTCGAGAGGCAACATTGAACCTGGGTCTTGCACCCACGTAGGCCTGGTGATAGACAGCATCGGGACCAAAGAACGTCACCCCTCATGAGGGTATTCGCCACGGCGGGAAACTCCATGATGTGGATGGGGAATCCTGAAAGGTCGGCCGCCATGGACGCTCCATCGTCGCTAGATCAGTCCGCTTTCCGTAATTACTGTTTGTAGTACAGATAGGTTTAACTTCGTGCCTCTCTGTCTCTCTCACTTGCGACCGATATTGTGCTACCGAACCAGACGGTTGCTAGTGATGGCCGGTGCTCGGGATCTACCAGGGTAGACCAAGTTAGAGAACCATCGCCATGGAACGATGAGCGTGCGTTTGGGTTCCCTAGCTTCATGCCGTCGGCCGACAGAAAAACCCTCTTTCCCGTGGTTGGGGCCAGCCCCAGGACTGTTGCTGGCCGCGCTCTCTCGACTTCAGATAGATATTTTCCGACCCGAGATTTCCATCGCCGGTGTGCCTCGCGCAACAGATTCGACGAAAGCTGCGAGTTATTCGGGACCCAAAACACTGGCGTTGACTTTCTGCAAGAAGGACATGGCCACTTACACCCATGCACAGTCATCGACGCCTTGACGGGCCTCTGCCCTACGTGGAACAGCGGCTCCAAGAGGGGATGCAGGGCATCTGCAAGACAGAAGCTGCGCTGACCACACTCGTCCAAGTCCAGCCATCCCTCATGCGGGGCAACAGTCATCTTTCCAGAAATCGGCTCAGGGTCGTGAGGCACAAAGGAGTTCCGGAGGCGGATCCCACCACCTGGCAAGGGCTCCTGTCCACCACCGGACCGGAGGCCAGACAAGCCCAACCATAACCCATGTCCTCTCAGCCCTCGCTCGCTTCGGAAGGCCTTGCACGACCCAGACCCCCGCGGCTGGCTTTTGGCATCCTGTCGCACTTGAGGAGGTCTGGACCGCTATCAATTAGCGCAGCGCCGGGCCGCAACGAAAACGTCGAAGCTGAAGAAAGAAGACCCAGCCCAGTGGGACTAAGGTGAACGGTAAAAGGAAACCGCAGACGAGTCGGAGTGCGCCAAGCGAAGCTGGCCGCCGGCATGGCGGACGGCAGAGAGAAGCTTAAGACAAGTGCAAGTCTTATAATCCAGATGCGGGAAGCCTCTCGAATCCCCAACCGGAGACACCGAAATCTATCATTGAAGACATGAAGCCCGTGGCGAGGAGTGAGGTGACAGTCGTGACAGCGTCCTCAGGGCGTTCTTGGCGAGGGATCGACGATGGTTTGACAAGAATCGGTTCTTGGTCTCGCGTGGGTTTGACAAGCTTGAAGCATGTTGATCAATAATGTCCGTCCAGAGAGAGAGTTTTCTCGGTTCAATAGGCGATTTTCCCATGCAGTCGAGCGCAATAATAGGCGATGGACTGAAGGCTAACAGCAGCCTTCGGAGGGACCAAGCTGAACTTCCATGTAAGTCCTGAGTCTGGAGAGCCGAATTGGAGGGTGGGATCATTCGAGGCCGCTTACGTAAGGGCTTATCTACCAGTGGTTGGTCTTATCGATAATAAGAGGCTCACCTTCTTATCGGTCTTATCAGCCCACACTCCTGGGCTCTGGTCGCGCGGGATTTCGGTGAGGAGGAGCATTGTCGCGTCCGGGAGACAGCTCCGTGCAGACTCTCAAACGCCCTTCCTCGAGCCTTTCTGCGCGGCACAGTGGCCCTCCTCAGCTCGTGGCAAACCACACATTCTTCAATCCCAGAATTCACTCCGCATAGCATTATGTCGGAGCGAAAATGGCACCTCTGACCCCCTACACCTACATCCGCTGCCCCTGCTCCGAGACTCACCAGTCCAGCGAGGACGGGTCGTCAACGCCGGGAAGCCCAGAGGACGATGAGCGGACATTCGACCCGCGCGCCCCGCGCGCCAACTTCAGTCTTTATCCTTTGGAGCATCTGATGTACTGCGAAGACTGTCACCAAATTCGGTGCCCGCGATGCGTCAATGAGGAGATTGTCACCTACTACTGCCCCAATTGCTTGTTTGAGGTCCCAAGCAGCAACCTCAAAAGCGAAGGCAACAGGTATGCGCAGGGTTTGCTTTGGTTGAGAGTTCCGGCGTTGGCTAACACTATCGCAGGTGCACACGAAGCTGCTTCCAATGTCCCGTCTGCGTTGGTCCCCTCGCTGTTACGGCTCTCGATACTCCGCCCGAGAGCAACCTTCTCACGGCTGATGGAACGGCTCCTCAGGGCGCTTCCTACGTGCTGTCATGTTCATACTGTAACTGGAGCTCAACCGAAATTGGAGTCAAATTCGACCGACCCAATGGCATCCACGGGCAGTTGGCCAAGCTGCAGAATGGAGGCCAGCCCAAGCTGACTCCCAAGGAGCACAAGGAGAGGAAAAAGGAGAGCAATGGGGAATACCACTTGAACCCGGAGGACATGGATGCCGAACTGCAGTTTGCGCAGCTCAAGTCCTTCTACCAGAACCAGATGGCCGGCTCGAACCCCTCAGCGGGTGGGCTATCATCACTAGGTGATCTAGGCCTCAACTCGCCTGGCTCACTCTCACGCATCATGAGTCTATACACTGGGAACAACTTTGGCAATAAACAGGCTCGCGGTAAGGTGCAGATCATGAGGGAGGCCGTCAGTCCTGACGAGGGCTTGAAGACCACCGACCTAGACGAGTCGAAAGAGATTGAGAAACTCAGACATACGCATCCCGACGACACAACGACTCTAGCCCAGAATTGCCTACAGCAAGACCACGTACGCTTCCGTGACCAGCTCCGGCCCATCCCCTATCTCCTCAGAACCAAGCGATCCAAGAGATGCCCGCTGTGCAGACACATCATCAGCAAGCCGGAAGCAAAGATCTCCAACACCCGGTTCCGCATCCGCCTCGTGGCCGGCAGCTACATCCCCACAATCACCATCCGACCGCTGCAGTCGGAGGTCCAGAACCTCCCCTCGACCGCTCGGCCGCCGATACCCCAGGAACTGTGGCTTACGCCACTCAAGCCCGTGCAGTATCTCCTGACCTTCAAGAACCCCATCTTCGAGACGGTCAAGGTGTCGCTGGCCACCCCGTCAAGCACGCCTGGGCGGTTCGCCAGCACCGTGACGGTGCTTTGCCCGCAATTCGAGATTGATGCCAACACGGACATGTGGGACGATGCCCTCAAGGATGACGGCGATAAGGAGCGCAGGAGAGGGGAAGAGGGCGGGATGCAGCAGGCTGAGGTGGGCAAGATTTACGAGCGCGGCCGCAACTGGGTGAGCATCGTGCTGGAGGTCGTGCCGGCTTCGTTGAGGCTTGAGCAGCAGCCAGGTGGTGATAGTGCTTTGCGGGAGGACGAGGATGTGTTGGAGATACCCATGTTTGTGCGCATCGAGTGGGAGACGGAAGCTCAAGGCGACGTCGGTACTGCGACAAGCAGGGAGAAGGAGGCGAGGGAAAAGAGGGAGCTGGCCTACTGGTGTGTCTTGGGAGTTGGACGCATCAACCAGGACTAGACTAATGTCAAATGAAAAATGATACCCCCAATTCCTTTATATATCAGGCAATGGCTTCAAGCACAATGAACATAATCACGAAGAGACGGGAACAGATAGTTAAGAAGGAGCGGTCAAGTGTTTTGGTATATGCATTTTTTGGGCAGCCTGTAATGGAATCGCCCAAGTTTATATCCCTGTAGACGCCAGACCCTTTTGATCAACCAGTCATTGCCATGCCTTCATTGCAGCAGACTAAATGCCAAACCCATCATTGACCATGATTCCTTTTTTGATTTTTCACCAAACACCCGCCCAATGCGCAAGACACTAGATACGATAATCTAGTACTCGGCGGAGCCAGACTGGGGGAACTCGAAGGTGACACCGCGGCCGGTAAGCTTGCGGTAGACCTCGGAGTAGGTGTCGAGGCGGTAGTCAACACCGCCGCGTTCCTTCTCGTCGAGGATGACCTTGAGGAGCTTGGAGCCGTCCTCCTTGGTGCGGAGGCGCTTGCCGACGATCTCGACGGGGTAGACGAGGTCGGTGAGGATGGCGTCGTGGACGGCGGTGAGAGTGCGGGAGCGGGGGCGCTTCTGGGTCTGGTTGTTGCGGGAGCGGGCGGAGCGCTTGGGGCGGGGCAGGATGCGGCGGGAGGCCAGGATCAGGACGTGGCGGTCGGAGAACTTCTTCTCGAGCTCACGGGTGAGGCTAGGAATGGTCTTAGTATTGGACAGAGTAGGTCTGGGAAGAGAAAGGGGGAAACTTACCGCTGCTGGACGCGGTGGAAGCCCTGCAGGGATGGAACGGGGACAAAGATGGCAATAGCCTTCTTGCCGTGGCCGACCTCGATCTATAGGAAGATCACAAGTCAGCATGCGAGCTCCAGGACGATGCCTTGGACCGCTTCCCGTCCTGTTCCTGAGATTATCATTCTTTTCAGCGTTCAAATCTCCGCCGCCACGGTGAAGCTGAAGACACCAACGATGGGCACCTCCCAAGACTGGAACGCGCGATGCCAATGCCAGCAACTTCTTTCCCTTTAGTCCTCTTCAATCCTGATGTGTTTCAATCGAGAGAAAGGCTTCGGGGATTCCATTGCTTCGCACCGCGCTCGTCAATTGGGTGGGGTGTAGCTCATGTTCGTAGCTCTTCGTGCTTGGATTTCCGTGGCGGCTGGGAACAGGATTTTCGATTCCGGAGAATTCGCGGGTTCGGAAGTCTTCAGGACTTTAGGATTGTCGCTTTCAGGTAGTTCTCACCTCGCGGGCAGAGACGATCTGCAGAGGGCGGAGGGCGACCTTGAGGTCGGCGGTGTTGCTCTCGAGGTCGTACAGAGCCTGGGCAATGTTCTGCTCCAGCTCGGAGGGGTTGGCCCGCGAGGGGCTGTTGGCAGCGATCTTGTTCAGGGCGGCGGACATCTTGACTGTTGTCGTGGGGTGGTTGACGGTCGGGTTAGTCGATGCTGTAACGGACGGGGTCAAGAAGAGAGAAAAAGTTCACGAAGTCGATCGCGGCAGACTACACGGAATTCGAAATGCACCGTCAGAATTTCCGGTGGGTGGGTCCTCCCGGGTGATTGGGGTTTGTAAACCCTGGGGTGGTCTGTGCCTATCGGCATCTCTCAGTGGTTTTTGGAAGCCTCTGAGTGGACCGTCAAGCCCGCCATCGTATCCACCCTCGAAAGTGCGCCAGTCTTCTTTTGGTTTCGGTGAATCGTTCACCGAGGAAAGGGCTCGGTGAGATCTCCAGCATCGATTTGGGTGATGATTCCCATAGCCCACCTCGGCTTTCTGCATTATAACTTTTCCATATGAGACGAGTGATTGAATGACCTTGGGAAAGTACTTTTAATCTTTGTTAATTACCCTCATACGTCTTGGCTCTGCGGCGTTGGTGGTGAGCATAGATTGATGCCTGCCTTTGAGACATAACCGCAAGATGCAACAGGAAAGCGTTTAGTAGCGCATGCCCCCCTGTCGCTGGCCTCGAACTCAAATTTTGAAGATGATCCATGATGAAACAGGCTCTCACTTCACTATTATGTCTTTCAAATGCAAGTTTTGCTTTATGGAACATCTTCAATGATTTTCGTGGGTAATTATCTGGTTGTTCTTTTTGGATACGGGTATTATTATGTTGAATTAAGATTTAGTTTGCCGCCCATTTGCACCCCAAGCAGAATTAAGTGAATGTGTGTCAAACTGATAGCCATACAATCTGTGTGTCTGTCATTCTTTCAGTGGTAACAATTATAGTCTCACATCATGGTCTGCGCCCTCTCGTTTCTCTCTTGCCTACTCATCTCGTTACGGAAGACATTACCCTCCGAAGGCGGAGGCGGTCTCGGCGGGGGCGGCATCATTTCAACACCCCGATCAGGCGACGAGAACGCATTGTCTCCAAGCCCAATCTTGACGTCAGCCGTTCTCTGGCCACAACTCTTGCCGACACCGTAGCCTCCGCCGCGGGAGGAGAACATGCCCTTTCTGCGGCCGTACCACCACACGAACCAGCCGATGCCGACCAGTGAAAGCACGCCAAAGACGATGGGGAGAACGATACCAAACACGTTGGGTCCGCGGCGTCTCTGGTTGCCGTTGTCGTTTTGTGGCCGGTTGACGATGCTGACCTTGGCTCCTGGGTGACGGGCGGTGATGGAGCCGTTGGTCTGCGGGAGGGCGAGGAAGATTTGGACGGTGAGAGATTCGTTGGCGGCCATGTTGTAACCTACCGCTGCCCAGGCGAAGTGGCCTTGGGATGCGGGGAGCATTTGGGAGGTAAAGCCGTGGCCTGGGTCGATGGCGTTCGTGACGCCGTAGTCACCCTGGACTTGAACCATTGTATTGGGCAAGGGGAAGAGACTGGTGTCCCATGTTACTAGATTCCGTATTAGTGTCTGTTTGCAAGTCGAATTTACTTTGTGAAGGAGATACTTACTCCAATAGGTCTTGCCTCCATCAACCTTAGTATCAGCCTTGGGAGAGCAAAAGGGCTGGTTGACGCCGTTGGCTCCCGCAGCCTGGTTGCATGAAAGGAAGGACCCGGCGCCGTTGGCATCGGCCGTGGGGAGAGTAGAGCTGCCCGTGAAGGCAGACGTGGTCTTGCCGTCGTTGACGGTCGGGGTGATGGTCTTGGCTGCGCCGTCGGCTTGGACCGTCACCCAAGGTCGAAGGGCATCATTGCTCTGCCGAGGAAGGATGGCGGCGTTGACTGCTTGTGATAGAGCCAAGACTGTGGCGGCCAGGCCGAGGCCTCTTGAGAAGTCCAAAGCGACCATGACTTTATTCGTATACCAGAGAAAAGACTCGTTTACCAGAACGAAGGTTGTATTATTATAACGTGCCAACTGGTGGCATCTATGAAGGAAATGAAAATTCACTCGAGGAGCAAGTCAAAGTCAGGGAACGTAAGTGAGGGATTGCCATGGTTATGTACCAGGAACCAGCACTGGACATTGGTATGCAAGAATGCGACGACTGCTTATCATGCGTGACTTGCGCTCACGGGACGCCTTGTTTCCTCGTCTTGAAACGGTGATGAGTTTGCCTTGAACCTGAGCGACCTGCAATGCAACCAGGAAACTTCGTGGCAAGTGGGCTGCGAGTAAGGTGAAGTACTTCATCTTCAACGTTCTGTCACTCTAGGCAGTGAACATCTTTTGGGATCTCAGCGTCTCGGTTGTGGTTCTTTGGCTGCCGTACATGCTGCCGTCTTTCATCGTGACAGCAACTACTAACCGCCTAGGATCGAAGGATGTGCCCGTAGCTCTGTGAGGCTCTTGGTGGATGACAAGACGAACAAGTGGTGGCGTCGGCCGAGAAAGGCAACAAGCTTACCGGCGCCGGCACACTGACAATGCAGGGGTTCCCCCCTGGTTCCGGTTTCAAGAGCGAGGAGCAGTCTCTTTTCTCACCGGACTGAGTGATCAGACCGGGTGCGCAGAGTGGCTCTGCTGGCGAGACCCTTGGGCGTGTTGGTTGCGTGCCGTCGTGATGGCCCAAATACCGGGGACCGTTGGGGCTTGAGCTGCTCAGAGGGATTTGAGTGATGAAGGGAGGATGGTAACATGAGTCGGCACTGTGCCCATGGAGGTCCTGGCGCTTGCACACCCCGCTGGGTCCCCTTGATGCGCTCGTTCACACGTCCGCGGCGACCCGTTGAGTTTTGAGGTAATGGGGGGTATCATCTGCAACTTTCGGCACTTTGATGGGATTTCTCTGGCGAAGCGAGTTGGTGCTTCAGATGGAACGGGTTGGCGACCGGGCCAAGAGGGGCAACTGCCGGTGCCATTTGGTGCCGGATCATCGGGATTTGTGGAGACACCCGGGCATTCTTCGGGGGCCGTTGTGCCGGGGTTTCGGGATCGTGCCGCACTGATGCGCGGCTAGGCTTGGCCAGCCGGGAAGTAGCCTGCGAGTATATATTTCTCTGTCTGCCTCAAGCAAACTCGGAAGATGACCCGGTATCTGCACATGCCAATCGCGGCTGAAAGACTCAATGGAGGCCAGCCTAGGTAAGGAGAATTGGCTGTCGTGGCTCGAGTAAAGGCCGGATAATATCCCGTCGGGTGTTATAAGCCAAGAGATCGAGAGTGGCAGTTGAAACTTAGCAGTCGAGATGGTTGAAACTTGTGTGGCCATTGCTCTATAGCCTGACGGGATCATCGCTGCTCTGCATCCCATCATAAGGTACTCGAGGATAAGTGGAAGATAATCAATCAGATCTCGCCATCTGAGATCGATCATTCCCGTCCCGTTGCTCCTTGCCTTTGACTGGGTACATGTGCAATCAGAAGCTAGATCATCAACCTTTGCTCATCCGTTTCGCCAAGATTACCATCGCATCTGCCGGCATTAACATTTCTCCCCCGGCTCTTTTCCCTTTTGCACTGTATTTCTATTCAGGAATTGAGTCATCCACCGTGGCTGAGGTCCCCATCCACGATGATCTTGACCCAAGTTGAACAGCAATTAGCCTGCCCGTCACCCCAACAACCCGCCCGGAGCGCCGGACTATCGAGAAGGAGGCCGCACCGTCCACGCACCGTTCGCGACACCGTCCTGAACGCTGAGGTGCGCAGTGACGTCTTTGTGGTTCCTCTGTGGTCTCTGTGGCCCTCTGGTAACTAGCGGCAGCGCGTGCAGCCGCCAACGGTGCGCGATCGCCGGAGCTTCCCAACAAATCTTCCGTGGGAAGAAGGAAAGGTGCGACATTTCCTTCATCTTGGGTTTCCTTGGCTGCCATTGCTCCGATCTGACAACCTCCACGCCCGCCCGCCAGCTCAAAGGTCCGCTTACCTGCAGCAAACACCGAGCTACATCCTCCATTAGGACTCCTCCATTAGCTTCGCACTCTCCTCTCTCGATCTTTCCATAAATAAATCCCCTCTAATGTTTAAAGCAAGCCCATTCCCGCGCTCCCTCCCTTCCCGCCTCTTCTCCTCCCCTGCGCAACCTTCACGTCCTCTTCTCAGATTCACCAACACCACCTTTGGATCTCAGCATCAACACCTAAACAACCACCGTACCTCCAGCTTCTCCCACATCGCCTATCAACGCGCACCGCCATCATCGTCATCGTCTACCCCTCCTTCTATCAGACCCGACCGCAAGATGGCCGAAAGCGACATTGAGAAGTACCTCAAACAGACGCATGACCGCGTCTTCGAGAACAACCGCAAATGGGCCGAGGAGAAGAAGAAGCAGGACCCCAACTTCTTCGTCAGCCTGTCCCAGGGCCAAGCTCCCGAGTACCTCTGGATCGGATGCAGCGATTCGCGCATCCCCGCCGAGCAAATCACCGGCCTCGAGCCCGGTGAAGCCTTCATCCACCGCAACATTGCCAACATGGTCAATAACATTGACCTCAACGTCATGAGCGTCATTAACTATGCCGTCCGCCACCTCAAGGTCAAGCACATCGTCGTCTGTGGCCACTACGGATGCGGAGGTGTTAAGGCCGCCATGACTCCCAAGGATCTTGGTCTGCTCAACCCCTGGCTGCGTAACATCCGCGACGTCTACCGCCTGCACGAGGCTGAGCTGGACGCCATCAAGGAGGAAGATGCTCGCTACGATCGGCTCGTCGAGCTCAACGTTCTCGAGCAGTGCCGCAACGTCATCAAGACGGCTGCTATCCAGCAGTCGTACGCCAAGAACAAGTTCCCCATTGTCCACGGCTGGGTCTTTGGTTTCAACGACGGTCTCCTCAAGGACCTGGAGATTGATCACGAGAAGATGCTGCACGACGTTCAGAAGCTCTACCACCTTCCCGGTGCCGACTTCTAAGTTGCGACCGACCGACCGACCTACCTTGGGAAGCTGTACGCTGTCCCAGTGCGGGGTTGAATGGGACGGGAGAGATGGGATGAGGAGGGGTGGACCGGAGCGTTCGCCCACGGGTGACTCACGGATGGAGTCTCGGCTCTCGACGGCTACCGTTTGTGTGCGCGCGCTGCACGGCGCTCATCGCGACATGGGCAAAATTTTCTTGTTGAGGGCGGCATCTTCCATACCCGTTGCAGATCCGGATGGGGTTGGTTGGCAATACTCTTAGGTTCTGACCGAGACATGCCACCCCACCACAACCGTTCATCCGGTTTAGCTTAGTGGGAACCTGGAGCTGTCAACGAGCCGGGGACCCCACTACCGTGCATCTCCGAGGGAGGAAAGATTGGGAGGTTGTGGCGGTAGAGATTGGTTATCAAGCAGCTGTCACCGGCGGGATTGTACCGGAGTTGAGGATTCGAGTTTTTTTTCAATGGGATGCGGGTGCTCTTGGGGACCGGAGCGGTGTTGGTGAAGAAATGAGGTGCACAAAGCCAAAAGACTTGATTCTCGGAGCTGGCAGTCTTTTCGGAGTAGGACATATCAAGGGAAAACGCAAAAATAACACTTTATTACCCATTACCTTTTCTCTTAACTGAATATTTCGCGAATAATGTCTGCCACATCACTGCGCAACAATGGTCGATCCCGTTTGGAAACAATCATAGTTTCTGTCTACCAACCAGGTTGTCTAGGTAAATCTTCGACTACCTTACATCAACGTAATTTATAAGGTGGCTGATATATACATCTACAAGGTGATTGATAGTATGAAGCAAACTTCTAGATCGATTTCCCATCTTCGTCTATACCTCGTGAAGATGAATGACATTCCTAGCCGCTTCACCGTTAGATAAACCATGTTACTACGCGGGAAATGGAACGACTCACCACGAAACGTTCCAGGTATGTCTCCCACCGAGACTCTGGCACATCTTCTTGCTCCCCGTGTTATACGGCGCCACGTCGGCGGACGCCCAACCATCGGCGCCGTACTCGCTCGTACCTCTCTTGATCAACTTCGACGCCAGAGCCTTCGCGTAGCCTCTCTGTCGGTAAGGTGGCTGAGCGGGGTCTTGTGTTAGACTGAAAGATCATGATTGAAGAGTATTGAAGTATTCTCTTCGTGTTGGGTTTGGGTATTTTGCACAACTTACCTCGCAGTGGAGACTTGATAACGATGCATCGGTGCCTACGCAGGAGTCAGAGAGTTATGATGCTGCCGAGGAGCGGTGGGTGATGTATGTAAACAGATCGTGGCGGGAGCGATGAATGTAAGACGCCTTGCGTATCTAGAACGGATTGAAAAACTCACCGAGGAATGACCATGCGATAGGCGTTCCATCCTCTAGTTTGAGAAACAAACTAGGCCACGACATCAACGTCTTTCTATCTAGTTGTCAGCCATTATGTCCATCTCTGACAAGTTCCAAAACAACTTGACAAAAACGAAAGACACAGGGAGGCCGACAAGAACTCACACTTGACGCGGAATATCCGTCCTGGAAATCACAATCTCACAATCCCTCTCCGTTGCCGGGCCCCATGTAGCTCCCTCGGGCAACGTCACACGGTCCTCGAAATCCGGAATATCATCGACGCGGAACAGCCATTTCTCATACTCGTAGTCCTGGCGAGGTGTCACGCGCACGCCGGCTCGGAGCATGGCGTCCCGCGTGGGTGTGGCGAGGGTTCCGGCGAGGCATGCACCGGGAAGCGTTCTATTGTCTGGCTGTTGCTTGCTCACTTGTGTTACAGCATCGAGGACTGCTGCGATTTGGGATTCGGCCGTTTTCTTGTCCGCGTCCGCGAGAGTTTTGTCGGCGGCGTTTTCGACTGTTGAGTACATGAAGAGTTGGGTTTCTTTGGTGCTGCCGAAGTCGAGGTATGCTGCGCAGAAGTTCCGTGGCTCTTGACCTGATGCATCGGCATCTTGTTGCGAGGCACTAGAAGGGAGTGGTGCGTCTGAAGCTAGGATGATGCGGGCTGTTGGGCGCATGCCGTCCTTGAAACGGGTGAATTGGAGGCGGCGGAGGAGGACGAGGGAGTTTGGGAGGTGGGATTCCAGGAGAGGGATGAGACCCTCCGGGACGGAGGTATGTACCTTTGCCATTATGACTGATGAGTCTCAATACTCGTCTACGTGGTGTAAAGTAGAGCGTGGTTCTCGAGGGTTTGTTTTTTAGACTCGTATGTGATGATATTGTGTGCTGCAGCAATGATGTGAGAGATATGTGAGGTGCTAAAATCGGTGGATTAAATATCCGCTATTAGTAGCTACAGTGCATCAAATTTCAGCGCTGCAGCTTTATGATAGCTCGCGATTGAGGGTGACTCATATTCGCGACTCAACTCACGACACCGCCCGGGAAACGAAACCGAAGGAGGAAAACTCATGATCCATACGAATGCCTTCCTGTCTACGTCACCTCACCAGAATCATTATCAAGTTCGGCTGAGATCCTGTGGAGCCACTGGCTGATTCAAATCGAATGGATTCATGAGAGATGCCGCCGAAAATGTTAAAGTAGGTCATGCAGATTTTAACAGCGGTGTCGCAAATGGGAAGTGTTAAGTTAACTGCAATATGTCTTCGGGCTCATGAGCTGTGAATAAGTAATGTGAAATGAAGAGGTGAACTTCATTACCCTTTGAAGTACCTGGGCAAGTGCAATTACTAGGGAACCGAATCTCGCATTCACCCTTCGGTCACAGCCTCCAGAAATACGAGAAAACTGAAGTAAGCCACACTCGATGTGGGTAATGTGATCTTCAGAACCGGCGATCGGGTCTTTGCTGGTTGCGTGGACTGGTGAAGGTTCGGGTCTTTTTCAAAAATGGTCGCCTTCAACTCACTCTCTTTACCCTAAGGACAAGCTTGCAAGCATTACTCATGACCCCCTTCTCGTCGTGGTACAGCCGTAAGTCCACTTGCTGCGCAGTGAAGATAAAAGGTACAATGTAGTTGTCATGATGAAACTCAATTTGCGTAGGCAAGATATCAAGAATTGCTCGAGGTGATATGCCAAAACACCATGTAGACGGGATCAAACATAATCGCCGAATCCAGTCATTGGCTCAGTGAGGGACCAGTCCATTTGGGCCTCGAATGATATGCCCCACAAAGGGACCGCTCAGTGAAAATCTCATCTGCAAGGCTCTCCAACTCCTCATCGTCTGCTTATCACATCGGCCTAATATCTTCAGCAAAAGCAGAATAAGCAAGAATCGAAAAAAAATGACTAGCTACGATCGCGACATCGTCGTCAACTGCCTCAAGCGGCACTACGAGCTGCTGGTGCGCATGGGCTACTTGGACGTTTCAGCCATCGAACTCCCTCCCGCCGCCGGCTGGAGCGACACGGAGCTCCGCGTGGATGCTCTCCGGGCCATGGGCCGCTCCGAGACCGTCATTGATCTCCTGCGGCACATCCCCTTCGTCCACGAGAACGAAGAGTCGGACCCCGTCGAGATTTATACCGAGACGTTCCCGCTGCGGTATCTGCGCGACGGGCGGTGGTTCGGCGGCGCCAATGGGATTCACGGCGACGGCGCTGAAGTGTTTGCCAACACGGCGCTCTTGGACCTTGGCTTTGCGCCGTTTGATGGGCCCGTGCCGGCGGACATGGTCTCGTTGACGCATGCGGACGAGGGAATTTGGTGGTTGATCGATACGAATCAAGGTCAGCTGGACTATGCGCAGAGCTGTTTTGGTTCAAAAGTGCTCTGTGAAGCTGACGCATAGGCCATCACAGGATGCATCTACCCTTACGGGACCGAGTTCGACAAACGCGAGGAGGACGTTCCCGCAGACAAGCAGTGGCTTGTTGTGGACCCGGTCCCCATCCAGGCTTACTTTGACAAGATCTATGCCCAGGTCGGCAACTTGGATGTTGTGCCAGCGCCCCGCTCTGGGAAGTGGGAGGCGAGAGTTGTCGAAGGGTATACCGAGGAAGGCCAGGTGAGTTCATCAGCAACAGGAAACGTAGACCCGTGACTGACCAAGACATTTCCTCGTGTTGTACAGGAGATCAAGCGACTGTACGTCGAACACGGATGGCCCAATGCTTTTCGTAGAGAAGATTTTGTTCAGGCTGTTGAGAGAACTCGGGCGGCGTTTATCGAAGCTGGGCTGGGACAAGATGATGATGACGAGGATGATGAGATGACGGGCTAGATAGACCAGACTTTTGGACATGGCTTTAGTCAAAAGACACGAAATAATGAATTGGCCAATGATAGAGACCCAGTGATGGTTTTTCGCGCACGGCCATGCTGGTGGGTTTTCGTTCCTGAGCCCAAGTTCGATCACAGCGATAGCTGAACTCAAGAGTGCGCCTGATTTCCTCAACCCAAGAGAACAGTGATAACAGATATCGGATCGCGGAAGATGGGATCGGGTGACGGAAGTTTCTGGCATCAAGACTATGTTATCATGTCCTGTCTCCTATCCTCTCTCAACAACACAGCCATCGTCGACCCCACAAATTCAAGCCGGAGCTCCCCATCTGTGTCGTTGACCAGCATCCTGGACGGGGAGGTTGGGCCCATCAATCAAGGATAACATTGCGGGGCCCCTAGGTGAATGTTTCGTTAGCTGATTTAGTCATTCACGCGTCTTATCACATTAAATCACTTTCAACTGGCTGCTTACACTGAATTCACTGATATCACTGAGAAACCCCAGGGTCCCCGGACCCCAGATGTGAAGGCCGACGATATCGGAGCGACCCCGACTTTGTTTTCCCCTCGTTGAATGACATCGATCCGCGCCATTCTAGCGTGCTCATTGCCCCAGTCGCTCGGGACTTCTCCGCTCTGAGGGCTCTGCGGGTGCCTGAGTCAAGGGTTCTAGCTCTGTTAAACCTCGCATCTTCACTGATCAATGCTTCGAATGGGTTAACGCCGTCTCCGTCGAGCGGCGAGAGGTTGCTTTCTGAGCGGGTCGCTGGGAAATTGTCTACTCGATAGCAAAGAGAGGAGGAGGGGCAAAGCACCGACGAGGGGATTCGAAAATGCGTTTAAAGCTCTGCGATGGCCGGCCCTGCCTCTTAGCAGTGGTGTGCTCTCTTGCTACCATCTTTCCTTGCGGTCAAGCAGCAGCAGCCCCATTCGGAGACGAGGGATCGAGCACGTCGTCAAATATGAAGTTCTCAACGTCCTTCAACACGCTCTTTGCGGCGTCGCAAGTCGCCATCTCGCCCGCCACCGCGTACAACCCAGTTGAACTAAAGGGCTACGGCAAGTTCACCGGCACCGTCGTCAACTCGACCTATAGCGGACGCGCTCTCCCCGCCCCCGTAGACGCCTGGCTCGGCATCGACTACTCAACACAGCCGGTTGGCGAGGGCCGCTTTAACCCCGTAACCTGGCCCGCGTCCTTCAACGGCACCAAGGCGGCGACAAAGTACGGCAAGACCTGCGTCCAGGACCCAACCTCGACCGATGTCAGCACACAAGATGAGGCCTGCCTCAACTTCAACGTCTACCGTACGCGCGGCATCCCGCTCGACCAGAAGACACCCGTCCTGGTCTGGATCCACGGCGGCGCGTTTTACGCGGGTAGCTACAAGAGCTTCGATGGCGCTGCGTTCGCCGCATCTTCAAAGGAGCCAATCACGGTCGTCAACTTCCACTACCGCATCAACTCGTTGGGTTTCCTGCCGTCTGCTCTCTTCGACGAAGAGGGCCTGCTGAACCTAGGCATGCGCGACCAGCACTTCTTCCTCCAGTTCGTGCAGAAGCACATCGCCGCGTTCGGCGGCGACCCGGAGGCCGTCACCATCGGTGGGCGCTCTGCTGGCGGTCACTCCGTCGGTATCCTCTACTTCCATAACTACAACGAGGATGAGGGCAAACCACTCTTCGCCAGAGCAATCCACCAGTCCGGTGCCGTTACCGCTCGTGCGTTTCCCAATGCTACATACCCTCTCTACGTCAAGCAGTATGAGGAGTACATGAACTACCTCTCCTGCCCGCTCGATGCCGACAATGCCGCGACCTTGGCCTGCCTCCGCGCCGCGGATATCGACGCGATCCGGAACATCAGCACCAAGCTTTATAACGACTACGACCCGGCTCTGACTTGGCCCTTCCAGCCCACGCAGGGTGGACCGTTGCTGGAGAAGTTTGGCTCGCAGTCAGGCTACGACGGCACATTCTTCAAGGTGCCTGTCATCACCTCCAACGTGAACGACGAGGCCAAGTACTACATGGCCGGCGACAAGGAGACTAACCAGGAGTTCCTCGACTACCTCCACAATATCTCCCCCGCCCTCAACAGCACCGACCTCCAGCTCCTCGAGGACCTCTACCCGGACCCCGCCACACACCCAGATTCACCCTTTGCCAACTCCCCCAACAGCACGCAGTACAATCGCCTTTCGGCTGCATGGAGCGATTATGCATACATCTGCGCTGGACAGGAGACGGCGTACCGCGCCTCCATCGCGGGCGTGCCGACGTGGAAGTTGCACTTCAACACCAACAACTCGTGGCCTGCGTGGAGGGGTATCCCGCATACCGCCGACACCAAGTACACTTGGGACGAGCCGGTGGTACAGTACCCTGAGGTCAGCCACATTTACCACGGATATCTGTCCAGCTTCGTTCTGTCCGGCGACCCCAACACTTTTAGGTACCCTGGCAGCCCCGAGTGGCCTCAGTACAAGCCAACTGGTTACGGACTTGAATCGGAGCCTGCATTGCAGCTTATCGTCCAGCCTAATAATGGAACTAAGGTCGAGAAGGATGATATTCGCAGGGAGGCTTGTCTCTACTGGAGAGACCCCGAGAGAGCTCCCCGCCTGAATAAATAAATGCAAGAGAAAGACATTTAGAATAATATACATAAGTTACCGTACCATACGGCTCACGTATCTAGAAATACTGAGCGTACTACTTAGAGACTGAATATTTGTTCTGTTGGCACAGACCTGTCTTCGGAGAGCATGTTATGGGACAAAAGCTCTCATGAATCACGTACTCTACCGTAAGCAACATGCAGACGTTTCTACAGGCAGGCTCACCTTTACTGCCGTTTATTGGCTATCGGCAATTTCCTACCACCCAGCGATTGGAGCAGATCTGCCACGTTGCTGCGCATTTGTGGCTGTGCGGCGGCCACCAACAAGACCCAAGGGCACATTGGTGCCTTTCATCGAGAAATCAGGCTGCAATCTCGTTAATATATGAAGACTCGCAATAGCTCATCGTTGGACTATAGATCGACTTATGTGCTACGCCGAAGACACGAATGTCATACGAAGGGCCTAGAGTCCAAGAATATAACAACAAGATCGACATGTTAGCTGCGCTCTCTGACGATCGGGCTAGTGCCTCTCACCAGGGCAGCTTCCAGGCGCAGAGCTCAGCGCTCCCGCTTCGTCCGCGGAATACTTTAGGAGAGACCGATAAAGAGGAGTTGGACAAATCGAGCAGGGTCATGAAATGTGAAGAAGATTGGACAAATACTTCAGATCTGGCAGAGCGCCGGAGAATACAAAACCGAATAGCTCAAAGGAACTACAGTAAGTAGATAAGAAGAGTTGATTGGTTGCTGGAAGAAGAAGCCATGCATTGACAAAAATTTAGGAAAGAAGTTGAAGAGAAGGCTTGAGGATCTGGAAAGGAGAGCATGTGATGAGGGACGACCTACTCCGGCAGAGACACCTTCATCCAGCAAGTACGAGAACGAGTTCCTGTCACGCTCCAGTCCATTCTCAGACGTAGCATACATGTACCCATCTCCTTCCGAAACACCCAAATTTTGCAACATCCCCCTACTGCGACATGCCGATCAGGAGCTTTCCTTTTCACCGATCGCCGATGAAAGTGAAGACAAGAGCTCATCGCCTTCTGAAACCTCAGAAGTAGCGCCTATCTATGCATTGCCGTCAGACCATCGGTTTCGGTCGATCGAAAAGCTGCTAGTAGAAGACTGTCTTAGCAACTTCTTCGAATGGCAAACCTGTCCCCAGAAATCGAACAAGCGAGCAGCAAACCCTCCAGCAACACAAACTCAGCAATCAAGCAAGAGATCTAGGAAATACGAGAAGTCGAACGACGAGAACGACAATGAGGGTAATGGAGGAAATGAGGCGGGTGAAGATTCGAACGCAAATATTGCGAGCGGCTCGACAATGACTCCGTCCGGCAAGAGCAGAAGTATCATTCTTGCTTGCCCCTTCTACAAGAAGGATCCTTTGAAGCATCTTCAGTGCCTCAGAATCGAACTCAAAAGGATCAAAGACGTCAAACAGCACCTCAATCGAAAACATCGCTAACCGTCGTATTACTGTCCAACATGCTGGATGATCTTCGACAAGCCAACGGGCCGAGACATCCACATTTCACAACGCGGTTGCTTTCTACAAGATCAGGTCAACTATGAGGGGATATCTGAAGATCAAAGCCGACAGCTCACTCGGAAGGTAGACAGACGATTATCTGAGGAACAGCAATGGTTCAGTGTGTGGGATATTGTGTTCCCTGATGTTCCACGTCCTGAGTCAGCATACTTGGGAAACCAGATCGAGGAGTCTATGGTCATGATCCACGACTTCTGGGATGCGAACGGAAAGGCTCTGGTCTCTGATGCTCTGTGGGAGCGAGGGCTCATACCAGAGCCAAACGTTTCAGACGATGAAGGGGAGCTTGAGAGCTTCCTGGCCGAGACATTGGAATCTGTTGTGGAAGAGCTGCTGGCGTCTTGCCGGGTGCAGATCGCGGCGAGTCTATCTCGGTCGAATCGTGATCGTTACGAGGCGTCATCAGCTCCAGAGAGAACCCCAACTTCAGAATCAGGTGCCAAAACTCAAAGCTATGACACGAGTGAGCAGGATCAACAAACAGCCGATCTTGCCCATGTAGGCGAAAGTGCCTTGGCATATGGAATGCCTGTGGCACAAGATTCTGTTGATGATTGCAACTTTCTCACTGGCCTTGAGATGGTTGGGCCATTAGCAAGCCATGATACTCAATCCTTCCTCGAGGGGTCACAATTCAGCATGTCGCGCAGCTGGTCGACGAGGGAAGAGGGCATTGCAGAGTTTGATGACCAGAGTTGGGAACTATTAGCCGGTGTGACCGACTTCTTACAAGCTGAGAGACCATAGTGGTAAAGTGTCGCTAGATTATTTTACTTTGATTGCTTCCTAAGAGAGAATTTACGAGTTGAATGGGCATGCACACAACACACCTAGGTGCAACCTACCTGCACTTTGGACAAACGGGGGAGGCCGCTGCTCCTAATTCAGCCTATGTCCTCGGTATCTCAAATGACGAATTCAGCTTGAAACCTGACCAAGTGACTACGTCACTGAAGTACTATGTCTGCTACGAAGATAAAGCCATCATGTTAGCCGTGAGACAGTGAGAACCTGGATACACTATTCTTTCCCTTGGCCTTGGAGGACTAGCTGCCTCTCCCCTTTTCCCCCAAAGCTCTTGTTACAAGAATCTCAGTTCTAGCAGAGAATCTGACGCTGCGCTTCTGCTAAGCCGCCCTTACTCGAAATATTTCCTGGTCCGAGGTCTAGATAAGGAGAGATTATATAAGGCCGATTGTAATTTAATGTTTCGATGTATTTACTTGCTTTATACTTATCAATCAAACAGATATACGTCATGGATTCTTGTGTGAACTGAGGTGAACTTTCTTTTGTCATTGACTAAACCATTTGCTTCGTCCAGTTTACCTGGAAATCTAACAGGCTGTTTTCTGAGATGTTCCAGCTGGAAGAGAGCGCGCAACGCATGATCGTCCGATATCGAGTAAGCAATGGTCTGCTTTATGAACTCCACCTCGCCAACTGCCAGCCACTCCGATACATCCTGAGAGTCAATCTTGTCTACGAACAGGTAAGCTGTGTGATGAAAATCTGTGTATCATATTCCTAATCACTCAAAATGGCATTATCCATTGGCCCCTTGTAATAGGTGCAGCATGGCTGTCTGAAATAGTTTCGTGTTCCTCGTATCTTCAACTAATGAAATGAGAGAAGACAGACCGTAGTGTTTTGAACCCACATCATGTCAGAGTTCACGTAGGATTCAACCTACGCTTACGTTAGATCTTCGACTTGGCGCAGCGGTTGAGCGAAGATCGCTTGCCGTGTCTCGTTAGCTTAAAGACGAGCCTTTGACAGGGGTTCATTGAAGGAAGCTATGCAGGACCTTTTGGCAAGATCCTCCAAATGTTCGAAGTAACCTGGATCATCTCAATCAATTGTCTGATCCCGACACGATGCGGAAGGTCGAAAATTGCCTCGTCCGAAGTCGCAATGTTTGATCTTTACAGTGGGCAATTTGCGGCAAAGAATACATATACTTCAATGATCCTGCTGCCTACGTAGGTCTGCTTTTTTTTTTTTTTGAACCCTCTCGTTTTTCTCGAGAACACCAGAATTCCTTTACCAAGCGCTTCCTCTTTTCGTGATACTTCTTACCATGGCTAAGTTGCATCACTCATCGCCCACCCCAATTCTCCAGAGCCATCACGGCGCACCCGAGGTATGAAGAAAATGCGAAACATGGCGGGATATCTTAAGAGCAGCGCGCTAAATTCGTATTCATTTTGCCGGCAGGGTAGTGTGAATGGAAGACCTACTGCGTTGATACTGGACATTGGCGGAGTTTTCTGCAACTTCTCCGCCGTCCCAGACGCTCCAATTCCAGGAAAGGTGTTCAAGCGCGTCCTTGAATCATCCGAATGGCATAGCTTGGAGGCAGGTAAGGCGACACAATCAGAGGTGTTCGGGGCCTTGACGAAGAGGTTCGCCCTTGCGGAGGGTGCCTTACAACAAACCATCCAGCTGGCATCGTCAACCTTGACACTCAACGAAGACTTTGTTGCAGCCGTCAGAAATCTCAAAGAGAACTCCGACGGCCAACTACGCGTGATTGCTGCAACCAATATGTCTACCGAAAGCTATAACATAGTTCACTCCAAGATTGGAGGTTGGGACATATTTGATGATGTCTACACGTCAGCCAGCCTGGGTGTACGAAAGCCGGAGCAAGGTTTCTTTGATCGAGCTCTCGAAGATGCAGGCTTGAATGCGAAATCAACTGTGTTTGTTGACGACCGACCGGAGAATGTCATCTGCGCCCAATGTCGCGGGATGCAAGGAGTCTTATTTGACAATACGGACAGAGTAATCCAGAAGCTGAACAGCCTTTTTGGTGATCCCATTGAGCGTGGTAAATCTTGGCTTCGAGCTCACGCAAAGGACATGTGGTGTATATCCAACACTGGCATTGAGATTCGGGAGCAGTTCCAGCAGCTTCTTTTATTGCATTGGACGAACGACTGGTACGGAGTCACCCCGGACAATAAGTTCGCCTGAAATACTAACTACTTTACGTTTCTTAGGGGACTTGTCGATATCGCCCAACACAATCCTCCTTCAGGCCAATGGAACTGCTTTTCTTATGGGCCTCCAGTGCTGACAACGGAAGTCTTTCCCGAGGACCTCGACACTACCTCTATCGCTCTCCTCACGCTTGATGTTGATTTCGATGTCAAGCAGAAGGCCATGGATAATATTCTCCAATTTTTGAATCCAGATGGATTAGCATATGTAAGTTGCTCCCCTTGGATGTACTTTTGAAACAAACTAAGAGTTGATTCTGTGCAGTGTTACTTCGACCCAGGCCGGCCGAGGCTTGATCCTTTTATCTCAGCCAATGTACTGCGAGTTTTCTACGCAAGTGGACGAGGCAATCAACTCCAGCCCGCGCTACACTTCATGGAGGATAGGCTCCGCACAGGCGCTTTCGAGCATGGAACTCGCTACTACCACCTGCCGGACTTCCTACTCTACTATCTCAGTGAACTATGTTCCAAGAATCCTAATGCCAGTGAGCTTGACAATTTGCGCGATCTACTCTGTCAGCGGTTGAAAGAGCGCATGGGATCTACAAACGATGCGTCAAGTGTCGGGCTTCGTCTGCTTGCATCGAACAACATGCGCCTGATTAACACAACGGATAGAAGGGTCCTACTGGACTTGCAGAGAAGTGATGGCAGCTGGATGGGATACTTATACCGGTATGGGTTCTCTGGGATCCTAATTGGAAGCGAAGGGGCCATTACTGCTTTGGCAGTGAAAGCCTTGCAGGGTGCCCATCGCGACTCGCAATGATGTGAGGAGAATTTTCACCAGCGCGAAACGTATTTCCAGCGTCTTCTATAATTCGACTTTTTATCTACCAACTGAAGTAAGTTTTCGCGTATGTAAAAGAAAGCCAGATGATGTAGATGATGGAGGTTCCTGCTAGGAGCAAGGGGGGCACACGTCTTCTGGATTTCTGTTTAGGGGGCCAGCGATGGAGAAGTCCCAGTCATTTGACCGGTCATGAACGAAAAACGAAGTATACATAAACATTCCACGTACCGAGTTGTGAAGAGTACTCGTTAAGAAGCCTTGAGTTTTCTACATAAATTAATTTTGTTCATGACGATAAATCGCTTTCACAGTTGTGTGACAATACTCCTACTCCGCTAAATGCTTTTATCCGCGTGACTGCCGCCTTTTCGTTTCCTTGGACTCCCTGGGTATCATATTATTCCGGTCTCTTCAATTAGACATACCACGCAACATCCTGGTCTTGCTCCCTCACAGTACTACTAGAATCCTGGCGACTAGTCCTTGACTGTGGCGTCATACCCAGCCCAGATATCCCATTCGGTTCAGTTATGTGACGAGAGAGCGAACGAGGGTGCGGCGTAGTCTCTGGCTCTGCCGCCCTCCCTGAGAATGTGTTGGCCGGCATACCGAGCTCGAGTTCTGGCCCTACGGTGTTTCTTTTGGGTTGTACATTCTCCGAGCTCAACATCCACCTCCCAGCTACGTAGGGCATCGAGAATCTTCTGGACCTCGACTTCGATAATGAGTTCTTGTTCGCATCTGGCGCTCCTTCGTTGCTGTCTCTCCTTGTTTCGGCGTGTGGGCGCATGGGGTTTGAGGCCTTGACGACCTTTGCAATCAGATCTGCCATGCCCATTTCGATATGTAGTTTGAGTAAATAGGCTAGCGGGTGGAACTGGGCATAGCTGTGACAGTTAGCGATGGCACGAGCCCACAAGAGTCAGCATCACATACATCAAAGTGTTCGGCAGGGACATGAGTCCAATGAGGATGACCTAGAGTGTGAATGATAAGCCACCAGATCAAGTGCAGTCGGAAAGCGATCAAACCTACATCAAGTGACATTGAGACTGCAATCATGGCCAGATTGAATCGGAATAGCGCCTTGTACTTAGTCAAGCCGCTAGCAATTAGCCGCGACTTGACCAGATAGATGAAGGTAAGGTTCAGTCCAGCATCCACAAGAAGAAAGATGCCCTTTTCTATCCTGTCCCAGATCTCGTTGATGTGAATGTAAGTCTCGTTGATCTGAAGACGAGCTGGAATCCAGATACAGAAGACGCTGATGTTGACCGCCAAGAGGATACCAAAGACTCCCCATTTCAGTCGTGTGGCTTGTGCAGGTATCGGCATCAAAATTGCGATTCGGTTGACGATGATTTGCATGAGACATTGTACCTGATGAAGCACTGATCAGCTAATGTCCAATATAAATCATGATTAAAAAAACCTGCTGGAAATTTACCTGGATCGTCCACAATACGACTTCAACCGATTGGCGTTAGTGTTTAAAAAAGTATGCGAATTGAAGCCCTACGATACTTACGTAGGAAAAAGAAGTATTCAAAGCTACTCGAAATTAGATACTGGGATTACTCAGAAGAGGGAGAGAAGCCTACCTTGGATCAATGATGGACGTCAGATAGCACCAGGATATGATGCCGATGACTATACTGGCGATCCATTCCGCCCAGATCAACCATATGTAGATGTTGACCCTGTGTGTCCTGTTCCAACTGGCTCTACTTTGTCGATAACCCTTGACTCCGCTCCATAGGCCGACTCCAAGCGTGAACCCCCAAAACATGCTCGCTATGTTCTGTTCATCGTTTGTTGGTGTCGAGCCGACATACCACGGGGGTATAAGTGTTCCCGCCATCGTTATGCTATGTGTCGTTTTTCATCGGACGTCGACGGTCACGGTGGATTCTCTGGTGTTGCTGTTCCACCTTCATCCCCGGCGG